GAAGCCAATTTCCGTCCGTGTGCAGTGACCCGGAAAATAGGTCAAAACATATGCAAATTATTCGCCCCAAAAGTATCAAATAACCCAAATAAAATATTTATATAGTAAATTTCAATACCCAAGAACATATTTTTAATAAATACCTTTGAAATTTTCGTAATTTTCAGCGAGAAAAAATTCGATGAAAACTCCCAATTATTTCGTCGATCGGACGCGAAATTCACAATTGAGAAAAAAATCCGCCGCAATGCATCACGGTATAGTGACGATTCCTCCTCTGGTCCAACCTTAGCTAAACTGTCAAAGAATTGCAAAGAATTTTTCACAAATAGTAAGAGGCATATTAAGAACAAAATCTCCTATCAAACATGATCAAAATGACAACAAATGAAAACAATTAGGTAAATTCGCCCATCATAGTTCAGATGTTTAAACGAACAAAATTGCACAAAAACTCTATCAAAACACTGGTAAAACCTACTTTATGTTTAAACTTACTTGTGTTGGCTCTTATCCTTTATGGATGTTTTCATTCCTTGAACATTATTGCAGTTTTTGAAGGTACAAATATTTGACAAAACTCATTTTAGTTCGTCTTGTTCGCTTATTGTTGCTATGCTACAGCACTCGGGGAGGTACTGGAGGTGTGTCTTTAGCAAACCAAAATGTTTCCAAAAAAATGTTTAAGATTTAAATTTTCAAAATGAATGTGCAATTTTGGACTGAAATCAAATCGTTTTTGCTCGATTGCATGCAGAAGAATTGATTTATCCTATTCAGTGCTTGTTAGTGTCATATTTGTCACATGGTTTCATTGCATCCTTCCTTGTTTAAAAAGCCATGTTTATATCCATTGAAACATACTTGGGGCAAAATGAATATAAACTTAAATCTTGAACTGTCTGTGTGGGTGCCAATAATAACCAAGCTTTCATTGGTAGGGATGCAACTTATGTGTTTGTAGAAAAAAATGCTCACATAACCATGCAGTTGTAAGTAGTATAGGAACTGTTGCTTCTGAGACATCCCGCCTTTGGCGGAACATCCCAGAAACATCTTCCACTTCCATCGCTTGCCCATCCCCACCACAACATCTTCCACTTCATCTACGAAGGTCATCGTCTTTGCTCGCTTAGCCTTAGGTACTTTCCGTATTTCAGGTTTATCATACACTTCATAGCACTGGCCTTCGGAGACCCTACATTTTTTCTTCCTTATCAATGCCATCTTTGGAGTCCATCGTTTGTCCATCTTCACATCAACCTCGTATTCATCGTTGTCTTCCACAAAAGACATAGTCTTTACACGCTTAGCTTTCGGTGCCTTCTTCACTTGAGTCTGACCAATAATCATACACTTGTCCACAGTACCACGTACTCCGGAACTTCCTCAATTGAGTCAACTTCAACTGGTCCCATTTCTTCCACCACTGGGTCCATTCTTACTAACCCTCTTTCTTCATTGTTGTGGGTAATGTTGCTGTGACCATACGTGTAACTTGTGATTCCATCACTAAGCAGGTGCCTCTTATCGTCGAAGCAACTTAGCGTCACCTTTCTTATCTCATAGGTTCCCAACTGATGCTTCACACTCCGCATTGTGTTCATGTTGTGTCTCAACTGTTTCCGCTTCCTTATCACATTCTTGAAGTTGTCGTGAGTGAGCTTGTTCTTGATGACATACTTCTTCACACCCTTAGCTGTCATTCCACCTTTCCCATTCTCTTTCACGTAGCTGTACATCTTACTTCTGAACCCAACAAACTCTACTATCGGAACACCCTCTGCCTCATCCTTGAACTTTCCGATAACCTTCTTGTTGTGGGTTGAGTAGTAGGGATTGTCCTTCAGGTAATCTGAGTTGTCCCAACAATCTAGCTTCTCACCGATCCTTGCGAAGTCCTCGTAGATGTCATCTGTTTTTATCTCGTACATTAAGCTGTCTGTGTGTGTGAAGATCCTATGTGACTGGAAGCATGGTGACGCCACTAATTTTACCAGTTCCTCCTTTGAAGTGGCTAGTTTCACATCAACTCTCTTCCTCACGTTCTCCATGATTTTCCCATAGATGGAATTGTTCATCAACTTGAAGAAGTTCTTCTCAAAGGTATTCTTTGACGCAGATCTCATTTTTGTGTTATTTGCAATGTAGTCTACAAGCCACTTAGACTGGTTGAATGTGACTGCTCTACATACCTTTGTCAACTTCATCCTGAGGTCTGTGTACAGCTTCAAGTTCCTTACATGTACAACATACTTTTCTCTGGATCCCAATGATGTCACCAGCTTCTTGATTCCACCAACCGACACATTGTATTTCTCAGCAATTTCCCTCGCATAGTCTGATAACATTTCCTTCTTGATTTCCTTACTCTCGGGAGCTAGAGGGTAACCATTGTGGAGATCATGAAGTTCCTCAGGGTAGTCCATATCAACTTCCAGTATCATTCCCCTTCCTTCGTTTCCCAAGTAGTCATCCAAGTTTATATTGTCAGTGTCCTCTACCCACTCGAACCCTGCATTGGGAAGTGGTTGAGACATTGCCCATCCATACAGATTGTTTGCATCGAGGTACATCAGATAGCTGCTTTCCATTTCCTCATCATAGGTCGACATATGCTTGTTGTTAGCCTTCGAGTACCGGTGGGCAATGTAACTGGTTCCACCACACATTCCCTTCTCGAAGAACTGAAACATGTCCATATCACTGACCAATTCAATTTCATTCCCAGACTGTTTCAGGAACGCGTCCCATCTGAGTCCAGGTGCTGATAGGTAGTGAGCTGGATCAAGCTTGTAGTTACTCAGGCAGATCATTCTGAAGCTCTCAAATATGTCCGCTAGTAGTAACACATCTGTTTCCAAGTAGAAGTCATGGTAGTCTCTCATCGTCTTCATACCGAAGTGGTTCCACACTTTCTGTGCTCTTTCATAGTCCTCATCATTCACACCCGATTCGTACAGTGTCGAGTAGAACTCGTCTGTCGAGGGAAGTTCCTCAGCATCCAGTTTACCTATGTCGTCCAAGTACTCATAAGGGAATATTCCTTTCTTGGTTACCAACTCGAAGTCCTCTCCTTACCACTTCTGTCCGACTAACTTGAAGTCCTCCTTTAACAGGTTTCCTGCAAGTACTTCCAATGATGATGCCATGAACTGGATAGAGTCAATGAACACTAGTTGTTTCCCCAGTGAGAACGATATCTATTTTTCCATGTTGTTCGGTATCACATTCACCTCCAGACCGAATTTTCCAATTTCCTGCATTATCAGGTGAGAGTCGTAACCCCTCAGGTTGTGGAAGACAACAGGAATCTTGTACGTCAACTTATAGTTCAGGTTACACTTACTATGTGCTGCTCCTCGGAACGTGACAGTGATCACTCACCGGGTCCTTATCATCCAACCACTTCTCACATATGTGACAATAGTCTGCATTCTGATATTCCTCTTCCTCGGTTAGTTTCATCGGTTTGTTGAACTCGCCTTTCATTATCTTGTTACATGTCCTTGCTTCATTCAACACAGCTTGTATGAAGTTCCTTGTAGCGTCCCTGCCAACGTAACTTATGTATTCACCTGAATGCCAGTCATCGTCGTAGTGCTTGGTGGGTCTGATATCTTGTGGTATGACTTTCGTCAGAAGTTTCGTCCAGAGTCCTTTCCTTGTCTGGTAAGAGGATCGATTCAAAGTCAGCATAGATGACAAAGGGAGCTGGAACTTGATGTTTATAGTTCTTGAACTTAATCTTTGTTCCCTCCTTAGGTAATCGTGTTGCCTGTGTGCCGTTCACTTGAATGCACATCTCCTTGTGTTTCTCTAGCAGTTCCTCTGAAGCACAGTTGTGGAAGCAATGTAGACAGAAGTGTTTCTTGTTCATTCCCTTTGTTACTGAGAAGAGCAGCCGGTTTACATCCTTTATCAGCACATAATGCAATTAGCTTTACCGTCTCCCAGCAGTAGTAATTCCATGCTATCCTCACATTCTCCTTTCGACACTCTTATCGGGTAGAACTGTTTCTTTCCCTTGTAACGGAGCACAGTGATGTTAATCTTATTCATCCTTTCAATTTTCCCAATGTCACTTACCTTGACTGGGAAGTCAATGCCACTGTAGTTCAGAGTCATGCTGAAGTCCTTATCCTTCTGTGTTATTGTTGTTGCCCTATCCTTTTTCGGTCTAAGGTGCCTCACATGACACCACATGAAACACATTGTGTCCTCACCATTTTTGATATTCAGTAGCCCATTCTTTGGATTCTTAATGTCCTCCGGCAGTTTCATATATGAGCTCCCCCTCAATGGTTTGTACAATGCTGTGTTTACATAGTGAGCTTCAATGTTGAGAATTCTCCAGTTACTCCCAAGGTTCTGAAAGGTGTCCAATTTCTACAGTATGATTTGTTGGTTGAATGTAGCCGTTGCTTCAATGTCCTCATGGTTCGTTATCGTTCCTGTCTTAGACTTGAAGTACACTGAGTCCTTCTTTGTCTTTCCTTCTCCTATGTCCTTCACCATCCTTACCTTCAATGTTTCAGTGTATTTCACACCACCCATTCTACCAAGCTCTTTCCTCAGTATTTCCCTAACAACTTGTCTGCTTGCGGTTAGCTGACTTTGGGGATTGAGATATGTGGGAGATATCATGTACGTCACCGCGGCACCATCAGCTGCCGTCTCAATCTTTCCGTAGGTTGGCTTCTGCAGGTCTGTTCCAAATGGATCTATTTCACACTCCTCAGGTTCGATCACCTTAGGTTGCAGTTCCTTTTCATTACTTGGTTTTGTTGGTTTCCTTCTTCGTTCTAGGTTTTGGTACTGGTTTCTCTTTGGTCATGAGCGGGACAGGTCTTGTTTTTGGTTTAGGTGTTGGTCTCCAAGGCTTTACACCTTTGGGTACACTTGGTGGTTTTCTTGTTGGTCTTGTTGGTTTCTTCTTATATGGTTTCTCAGCAAAGATATCAAAACCTTGTTCCGATGGGTCTGTGCTGTTCAGGTCCTTCAAGAATTTTTCTCCGATTTCCTTGCATCTTTGTTCCTTCTCTTGCGCTAACTTCGACATTGTCCTTTTCACTATAGTAGGGCTGCTAAGACACCAAATTTAGGCAAATCGTTCAAATTGTGATCACATTCTGAAACTTGGCACAGATACTCATTAAGATATGCAGAATATGGAATGGAAGGACTGCCCAAAATTTGAGCAGGGGAAAGTGCCTATTTCGGCCTTCAAAATGGCCGACATTCCGTATGCGCCTTGAGGAAAATTATCTCATTTAGTCATCACATCTGTGAACAAATGGACACGCTTAGCAAAAATACACGCAAGAGAAGGCTTTCAACAATATTGTATGTTGCATTGTCATGAAATTAAGGATATTTCAGAAAAACAGTAGTGCGCATGCGCAGTCACATTACCCTAAAATTTGATGTTTTACCGCTTTTCCTAAGTATATTGTATCCAGAATATATAATATAAAGAGTAAAATGTAGTATAACGCGTCATAAAGTGTCATAAAAGACTCCTTCGGCTTGTGTGGTCTTTTTGGTAAAAAATAAATTACGGTAACGCTCACAAATGTACGGGGACTTTGCGCACAAATATAAAGGAATTGCTATGTTTCAAAAGTAGGAGCTATATACTCATTTAAAGACCAAATGTTAACGACGCGAAATTTATATTCTTTATGTCTGTCAGTGAGGTCCGCAATGTTAATTTTTGACTCAGCATGGTTGTTTTTGGCATTATCTAACATTTCGCTTAGTGACATCTACACAGCTCTGTATACTTCAACAAACTCTTTGCATTTCTTCTACCAACCCTACATTTGGTGCACCACTACACCCTGACAACAAATCAGCGCTTCGGTCATTGGGAAACGTCGGGCATGCGGCATAGCGGCTCCAAACTTCGCCATCCTTCATTCATCCCCAATATGTGGGTCTGGAACCTATATACTCTTGCGGCTTCATAAACAATTGTATTACTTTCGTGCTTGTAACGCAGATCGTTTTTACGTGTTCGTCCAATGCACCAGTTGTTGGCAGTTGGGAATATATTGTCAATGGTCTTTCCCTTGCTTATGAAAAAGTATCGCCTTGCATCGTTGACCTTGTCGCCATCAAATGTGCTGCAATGAAGAGCTGCAACAAATTGTTTCAAAAGATCACTGTCTGCTTTACATATATTATCTTCCAACGTTGCTCCTCTGAATGATTTTTTGCAACGCTGAACGATTTATTGCCTTTACCTTTCAACGATGATGTGGTATCAGCCACTTAATGCGTAGAAAAACAGGAACGCGGTTAAGCGATGGAGGTTTGAGGTCCTAAGGATGCTGCAATTTTGCGGATTGGAACGTTCCTTACTCCAAACTCAAGCTATAGTTTTTTGAGGCTGTGGATCCTGTGGAAAGCTCCGAGTGCAAAACAACAATAACAACGTCACAGTCTACAGTCTTGACCAAATACGTTTATCGGCTTCTTCGATGTTGCATGGCATCAACAATCCAA